GGTCACCAAACGCGTGTAGTCCGGCAAATTTTTGACACACTCGAAACAAAGAAACGAAAACGCGGCAAGGCGACTATAGAAGTGTCCGATGTGGCGGGCATTTGTAGTACTCACGAACTCGCAGATATCGGGGCTGTCCCTTCGCATCCCCTCCTAATTCACAAGTGAGGGCTGCTCGAGTTTTGGGAAGACTATTTTTGAACGCGTATAGAGAATGTGTTCTTGTCCAGGGGTCTGAATAAAAAATTTCCGTACGACTAAAATCAGTTTTTCACAATAAAAAAGCGGACTATTTCAACTTTCGCAAAAAATATAATATCATATTGGACCAATTTTCACAATATAATGTACAAAAGTAAGCTCATACAAATTCCAGGTCAAAACTCGAATTGGTGGACAACAGAGCTTCGCTCACCACCATATCTTGTCGAATCTATACGCCATACTTACTTGTTGATGTTAAAACGACTGGTTACAGTAGTAGGTGAGGTCGAGAAGCCTCTGGTACCTCGCTCGCTCACTTTTCAAAGTAACCTCCCGCCTCAAACATGCTGACAAACAACAAGGACATCTGCGCGTACTACTACGAGGCCCTCGATCAAGGCCGTTATCGCTGCAAGCAGTGCGGTAACGAGAGAAAGCAACTTGCCAATACTGGCTACTCGAACCTGATCGCTCATGAGTACCCATGCATGCGTGGTCACCTGAAGGCAGACGCTAACATCGTACATTCTCCTGTGTTCGAGTCGGCTGTCGTCAAGGTCATCAACGGCGTCAATCTTTCCAACGCAGAGTCGCAAGCAGTCAAGCGGTTTGAAGTGCCGGTTTGTGGCAACAAGAGGAAAATTCGTGCCGAAGACTACGCGACTCAGATCCTTCGTGCTGTACCAGGCAAGCGGTCCAAGCAGGACAAAGGTGCTATCTACAATTCTCTCTTAAAGCACCTTCCACCGACATCAAACACGTGCGAGAGACTTTTCTCGCAATGCAAGCTGGTATAACTCCACAGCGTACGTCCATGCTACCCGCCAATTTCGAACTACTAATGTTTCTTCGGGCAAACAGGAGCCTGTGGGACGTGACTACATTGGCATCCGCTCGAAGTGAGTCAGAGTCATGATAATACATTGCAGTATTTGCGGTCGTTTTTATTATTGCTTCTTGAGGTATTGAATCATTATTACTGCTGTGGTCGGCAGGAAATTCCGTATAATATTGAATTGGAGAAGCCCTGTTCTTGTCTATAAGTGGGATTTAGTGAAAGCACCTTGTTTACGTTGGTGTGTCCGGTGCAGCTTCTATATGTGAGCCTTTCCTGGGTCGCAGCAACGCGAATATGGTTGGTGGGTGAATGATGAAGCTGATTCACAACACCTACAGTGGGGTGGGATTGCGGAAACTGGACCAACCTTGTGACCGAAATCTCTCGCCGGTAACATCCATTTCTACCGTAGTTGGTGCAAAAGGCCTCCATGAAAGACCAACACCACGTAAGTACTTTCAGTATCCACATCAAGAGGAGTGATGGGGTACTTCAACAAGTCAACCTTGCTGGAGCCGCAAAATAAATCAAACGGTCGAGTGATTCACTCGGAGTGAAGATCGTTCGGCTTGGCATGTGAATATGGGGGATTACGGGCTAGCTCAACTCCAGGGCAGTGTGTAGGCAGAGCGAGAGCATCAGATAGACAGGGAAAGGATCTTGGTAGGTACGAAATGGGCTCAGCTCGCGTGCCACAGATCGATTGTTCGTATTAAAGATGCGATAGTTACGCCTTAGAAACTTCTTCGTGATCATTTCATTGAATTCATCGACCAGATTTCGAGCGAGCATTGCGGGCGCGGGGGCTGGAGAAGACGTACATTTTCTACCAGTTTTTGTTTTGTTTTGCCGGAGTAAACTGTAGCTGTTGTAGGTAGAACCAGACCAGCTTCCGTTGTCTGTGGTTTATAAGCCGTAGGTAGGTCTATCAAGCCAAGCATGCACCGCAGACTCCTTCTTATTGTTCTGTACTTGCATTGTGATCGAGCGTCTAAAAGAGTTTCCGCCGACTTTTTCTGTTTCGTGAATAAGTCTTTGATATTTGTTCTCTAATGCGAACAAACGTCATCCTGAGTTGTGGAAGTGTTCACTTGCAGGCTCGGACAATTAAATATAAAATTGAACTGGTTAGCAAAAAAAGTAATACGCTACTGTAGTAATGTCGGAGCCAATCATAAGTATTGCAATTATTTAAGAGTATTGCTAGAGTCACAACAGTGAAGTGGATTGGGAACAACTCTACCCACTACACATTGGTCGTAGCTGCATAGCCCCTTTTTCCACTATGATATTTTAATTTTACATTTTGCCACATTGAACTACGAATTTGCCATTTTGAAGGTGAAAATATGTGTTTTACACTCCTCTCCTTTCATTGGCATCTCCATTTAAAAATTTGTGGTTAGTATTTAATATTTACTGTAGTTTTACTTAGAGATGATTGATCATAAGAAAACGGTGTATACTACAGTACTTCTACTATAGCTGTAGTACAGTACGATTACGGTTTGTTGTCGAGGGACGTAATTCCTACTTCGAAGTACATGTATTGAAAATCTAATTTAATGTTTGGGCCATTGATAAAACAGGAAGGATACAACTACGTGACTCTTCAGATGTTGCCCATGTATAGTCCCTCATTTTTCATCGGCGCGCAGAAGACTGGAAATGGAAACGTGTGAAAACCTTTTCGCTCATCTAGACTATGGCTACTCACCAGCAATTATCTCCGTATCACAGGGCTCGGAAAAAATTATTATAATATAATAACTGTGCAATTGTATTGACGGAATAATAGATTATTGGCAAATTGATCTTTCCGTAAAATATGCAATTGTGCCCGTAATAATTATATTGAATTTTTACCCAACGTAAAAAGCAACAGAGAGTAAAGTAGTGGTTGTCAAGCATGCAATCAAAACGAATGGTTTGTGTGAGTTTGCCGGAGGCATCAGGCTGAGCTTTCGTGCCTCTCATTTCTCATTTCGCCAGTGCCATGTCAACTTCTCGCGCCATCTCCAGCTTTTTCTTCACGGACTGCGGCAACGGGCAGTTTTCCTGCAAGCAGTGCGGCAGGGCTCGCAAGCAGACGCCGGGGACTGGCTACACAAATCTCATCAACCACCTCGCAACGAGCCACCCCGGCTACAAGAAGACTTACGACGAGAGCCAGCGATCGTTCGGCCAGTCCCTCGAAGCACACGGCTTCATTGACCCGGGCACTATGGAGATCTTCAAGTGGATGGAGTGGGTTCTCGTCCGGAACATGCCCCTGAGTGAGGTGGACGACGCCATGACGCGTGCGCTGGCTGCAATCAAGCCAGTGTCTTCGAAGACGTTGGTCAAGTACATGCGTCACGTGGCGGGCAAGGTGGGAACGCGTATTGCGGCAGACATGGGCAACCAGTTTGGCCTCATGTTTGACGGCTGGACTTCAGGGACCTACCATTTCATCGCCATCTACGGTGTCTTCACGAAGGACCCTACCAATTCCTGACAATAATTGCAGTACTTATTATTGTTTTTATCGATACGGAATAACGGATTATTTTTTTTCTAAATCCAATACAATATTTTATTTAATTTTCCGAGCTCTGCCGTATCACTATAGGTGTGATTTTTAACTTGGTGGGTTATGATATTGACAGCGCCCAAACCTTCGCGAGCACGAGCTGGATCCCAAAACGAAGTACATCTTCGGACTTCATCCTCATGGAATATGTGTACTTTCGCGTCTTGCTATCTGTGGTGGGACTTTTGACCACGCCACCCATCCACAAGCACATTACGCGACCCAGTGGAAAGTAGTGCATTGCCGAAGCGCCCAGCAACACAGTATACAGTACCGGTATACAGGGCATGCAGAAAGACCAGTCAGACCCTGAGCGTGAATATCCTACCGAATGGGATTTACCTCTGTGGGTGATGCTTTGCGATCCACATGTGAAAAGGTACTTAAAGAGGACGACACTATCCTGGTGATGTACTGAAATATTCCTAACGAGCCCGAACTTAAAGGAGGTACTGTACATATTCTGCTTTACTCGAGTGTCTTTTGATACTCGATGCACGTCCACCTTATCTCTTTCGTCCCCGTGAAACTGAAACGGCTCGTGCTGAAGAAGCGTCTCGGGTTCATCAGACTTGCAATGCATCAAGGAGCAGACCTCGTCCCTACGTTCGTCTTTGGGGAAAAGTGGCTATTCAAGTGAATACTTTAAGTTCTATTAATAGTTTTCATGTTTGACTTCTATCCGATTCTAACAAGTGTGCTGCTTTCTAGCATATGGACTCCGCCCAAGAGTTTGACTGATTTTTTTCCATAAGATCCTTGGCATCCCGGTGCTTTTCTTTTGGGGTAAATTTTGGTGGATGCCTAAGGCTCCAGCCCAAGGAAGGCGCTACGGACTTGTTTATGAAAAGCCAATTGCCACCAGATCGATTTCAAACCCGACCGACAAAGAAAAACGCGCAGTTTATGCAGAATACGTAAGTGAGATTGAGCGTATCTTTAACCAATACAAGTCGGAGTTCGGCTACAAGAGCGATGAGACTCTGTTGATCATCTGAGCCAGCACGAACGAACCAGGAGACAGTCGGCCTCTCAGTTGCATTCATTGAATAAAAAAAAGCTCGAGCAAAAGCCACACTGCTCTCTTTTTTGCCGCTCGATTTACTGAATCAAGGTGAGTCACTCATTTGTTTGTCATCCGTGCAAGTGGCACCATTAAATACCATCAGTCGAAATGAGCAAGGAATTTTTTTCAGGGCTGCCCCAAGTTGACGAGGTTGCGTAAGGGGTTTGAGAAGCCTCGACGTGTCGAAAAACACGTCAAGCGCCCCGAGATTTTGAATGGCGTCAGCGGTCAGAGCTTGGCCTTCCATTAAGGAATTGTTATCTGACGAACTTTCTCCTGACTGAGAGACATCTGGAACACATTGACTGTATGTGGCAGACTTAACCTTGCATGAGCTTCCACTCTCACAGTCGGTGGTCCAGCCAGATCTACCGCATTGACCCCACGTTTCGGCTACTTGCTTGACACACAGACCATGGTAATCGTCATCATTCACGCAAATAAGATCATGTGCACACGTGTTGCCACTGTTTTTGGGGTCGCATTGTTGCCACTCGGCGGCCCTGTAGAGATCATCGACAGTTGGTTCGCACGAGGCCCAACCTTCATTTTGTCTCGAACACGTAGTGCCGTTCACGCAACTCACATTCCAGCCCAGGCCACCACACTGACCCGACTTCTTCACTACTTTCAGATAACAGAGTCCGTAGTGTTCCACGTCCGGCACACAAACGAGTCCTCCAGCACATTCGATCTCCGTACCATTCTGCGAGCGGCACTGCTCCCAAAGTCCAGGAGCTGCATTTGACACCCTGATTCCACCTGACACCAGCGTAATGATGATAAGCTTCATGGTTGACAGCCAACAGTTTATTTGATCCGTGCAACACGGAAACTACACTAATTGAGAGCGGCTTCATGATCCTGTATTTTTGGTTTGGACATCGTGAGTGCGGTTTTCAACGGCACTTGTTCAATGCCTATGTTAAGCTCATACAGCAAATTCAAATTTTCTGATTTGTTTCAGATCTTTAGAGTATTAATTCACTCTCACATAGTATATTTTCAAAAAATGCTGAAATAGACCGATAGTCAAACTTGACATATACCAATTTGTACCACACAAAAAATAGATAGTATTTGGCATTTTAAAGAAATTGGATTTGGCATTGATTTGGCATCATACAATTATGAGATAAGACGATCATGGTAGTGCTAGTTAGTGTGTTGAACGCCCGGCTTGCCGTCTGAGGAGACATTGATGCTGTTGAGAAAACCGAGTTGCTTCGCGTGCAACACTCCTTCAAGGGAAAAGTTTGTAAGTCTGCTTTTCGACGGTGGCTTCTCCCATTTTAAAATTGAGAAATCACTTGAAGTACCAGGAAACGTTGTGGCCAATCCACCTGCAAACCTTTTTAGCGTTGCGAATTTCCCGTCGACATTATTCCAGGCGTCTTCAAAGGTGCATACTTTCTCGTGAAATGCAACTTCTTTGTCAATACCGCGGCGGAGCTGTTCATGACTACCGTACTGGTCGCATAAGGCCAAATGCTCTTGCTCAATGGCATCCATTTCTTCGTCAGTCCAGTGCGGAGCCATTCGATCGCGATATTTTACTATCAAAGCGGATAAATCCCGGCCTTTTAACTTTGCAAACTCTCGAGGAAGAGCCGGTGGAAGCTCTCCTTCTACAGGTTCATTTTTCTCGTTGCGTTCGGGCTCGATTGAATTAACTCGCTCAACCAAAGTTGCAATTACACGTGCGAAAGCCGAAGCTAATAGCGTTAGCTTCCGTTCCAATAGTATCCAGGATTTTAATTGCGAAAGAACCGTTGTCTTGAAGCAGATCCAAAATTTTCGCTTGGTCACAAACAATGGTATTGTTCTCATCCAGTGATAATATAGTAGGTCGGGTGTCTAGGTCACAGAGGTCTTCATCCGTCACAGCTCGAACGCCAAACATAATCTGGATGTCACTAGACAACCTCTTCATCTGAGCCAGTTGCTCCGTCACAAGGGTTGTACTTCCTTCTAGGCTTCTAAATGTGATCACTGCCCGGGTTGATAACATTTCAATCAAACTCAATATCAACCCCCTGAAGGGGCGGCTTGCAAACTGGTGTTTTTGCATTCAAATGTGCCGACAACGACACTCGGTGTTTCTTAAACCAAGTACAGCACCGTTGCATAGACTCCCAGCGCGTGTCCTGAAGAAGAGGAGCGGTGGTATCCATCTGACGTATCAGAGTTCCTTGGCGTAGTAGATACGCGATTGCTTGCGTCATGTAGCCGAAAACCGGCCATTCATCGCGGCTTTGAAGGCATTCTGGAGAGCCAAATCTAGCTGATGCAAGCCGCACCAAACACACATGAAGTCACTTCTGCACACCTTTTGAAATCGAGTAGCCAGATTTTTGCTAACACCCGTCATTTTCCGCTCTCCGTCAGTGGTAATACCGAGCATAACGTCACTCCAGTGGAAACAAAGCACTTTAAGCACCGGTACAACAGCATCGAACATGGCTTCTCCAGTATGGCTCTCGTGCATAGGGATAGCCATCAAATGAAAATTCATTATATTGTCGTTGTAGTAGACACGAATGCGTGTGGTTAAGTACGATATCGACAAATGTGTCGACATGTCCAAAGCGGTTGAGAAAGTCCACGAGATTGAAAGGATCTGCTTTATTATGTCCAAGTTCATAATACAAACAAAGCAGGCATACTTTGAAGGGAGTTCGGTTGAGCAGGAGCCTAATAATGCCAATCCTGTGCGCTCTTTAGTTTTCGTCAAGACCGAAATTGCCATTCGAAATGTCATACCGAAACTGAGGTAGTCAGCAATCAAATGAAATCGTACGGGATTCTTAATTGTCAGCACATAGTGAGAGCTTGATTCATCTAGATCCATGTTAGACCGCTTAGCTCGCATCCAGGCTGAGTCGTCCTCCTCCTCATCGAGTAAAATCTGTCCCATAATCTTGTCCACAATGTCACGGTCGATACAAACGACTATCGGTGCTTGGTTTTCATTTGCAAAAGAGTGAATACTGGCACGAAAAGACTGCACTTCGTCGAAGTAAACTTTCTGGGCATCGGTAGAAAGCTGCTGGTAGTGCTCCCATCTACTTAAAATGTTGACCGGTGAGGTGCGACCATTATTGTTCTGGTCGAAATGGCAGCTTAAAGTACTTCGTGTTTGCAGTTTGTTTACGTTTCGAGCCAACTTTCTCCTCGCGCCCAAACCAAATACAGAACCGACAATCTACAGCAAGAACAACCCCACTTTGAGGATTGCGTTCAGAAATATTCAGGCCAAACTCTAACAAGTGACGGTCTTGAAACGGTGTGGAACGTGATAGCTTGGAGCTTGATCCACTTTGTTGGATCGCGGTATATGGCGTGGAGACACTTGTCCCCGCTTTTTTTTCCTGCCCATGAGACAAGCTCGAGGCACTGTAACCTCTTGCCACGACTGCTATGAACTAAACTGAAGCGCAATAAAGGCGAATGGGTGGAAGAAGGAGTTTCAGATCCCCTTACCGGGGTCATCTATTTTTGGCATTTTTGAAAGTTTGGATTTGGCGCGAGTGCCAAAACTACCCGCAAATACCAAATTTAGAGATGCCTGTCGATAGTGCAAAATACAAAAGTGATAAGGACAAGGTGAATATTAATAGTCTGTCTAATGTATAAATAATACAATTACAGGTGTAATAGCCGGTACTACTGCTGCTACCAGATTTAGAAACTCATTACGCAACATGCTGTATTATATTATAAGGTTTGAAAAACATGATGCCGGAGGCGATTGACAGTAACGTGTTTTTTTTAGATATAATGTTTAGATTTGGTATCTACTAAATCTGAACTATTGATAGTAACAGTACTTCAGCCTTCGACTTCTGTTTTACTGTTACTGCAGCTCACTGCATACGAATGGAGTAAACTCGGATCTCAGGATCTATTCTGTATACGTCGGATCTCATCACCGGAGCAATACCTGCTTCTCTGTACGCTCGTTGTCGGTTTAAGTCCTCAGTAGACTCATGACGATGGCTCCAGTTGAAAATACACTTTCTTGGTATGCGTTGGACGGTGCCCTGCAAAGTCAAACGCGAGCAAGTGCGGCGATCGACGGAAACTGCATGCAGTAAATATATCACGGTACCCAGGCATACATATATGTGCTGGATTAAAGCTCGTAGCCGCTCCGACACCACACCGAACCAGCAATAATTTCGTGAAGTAATCTTCCGTGATGGAGCTGACCTTGGACTGCCGCAGCGCAGCTGGAATCAGTTCACGCGAAGCTGCATCCACTGCTCGAGTTCATCGAGGTGAGTTTGGGCGACGTATTCGGGTATTGAAGATTCGGTGAGGCTCTGCATATGACGAGCAAATTGCAGAATGATGCCAAGATTGCTTGCTTTATTTATCGACCGCATCGATGGTCAACGTCAAGCATCAAGCGCTGTCGACGTGAGGCCCCATATAGAACAATTCATCACAGCAATTACAGGCTCCAGTTATTACCAAATTAAGAACCAGTGGGCTCTTACTTATAATGTTGGACCCGGAGCTGTCGGAGAACTTGAGGTGTATTATGCAAAATGTGGAATAAGCAAACTAAATGAAATAAATCAAAAGCTAACCACAGAACTTGTCGAGAGCTCAACAAGCTGCAGATGGTGTTGTTGGTAGCTGTCATGGATGGCTAATAGCCATACACCCTACTTGTAGGAACTCGTGCACAAAGCAACTGGCCACGAGAACATTGCATACTCCCCAAGTTTACCTGTGTCTGTGGGTCGGTTGCTGCTTCCGCTTAAGGCCTCGCAGTGGCGTACTCCAGTGGCTGACATAACTTATGCTATTTTCAAATTCCCAAGGGTTCTCACTCTCTGGGAGATCCACCCACGAACACATTTCCTCGCATACGCAGTCGTGGGGCCATCATCATACATTTATTCAGTAAGAGCTAACGGACTAACGTCAACTCATGTGGAGTTGAAGACCCCGGGAGTGGCGTGGTGGGTGCTTGAGCTGCTAGAGGAAACTTGCGAGCTGAGGTTGCTCTATCTGTCGGACTCGTTCATCGCTCTTTGGCACTATATGAGTGGACTCTACCGCACCGAAACACCTGCTGAACCAGGATTACTAGCGAGGTTCGGGCTTCTGCTGCTGACTCCTTATCCCGAGGAAACTACTATTCTTGCTAATCAAGAAATCCAATTTCCTCGCATACGCAGTCGTGGGGGCATCATCATACATTTATTCAGTAAGAGCTAACGAATTAACTTCAACTCATGTGGGGTTGAAGGCCCCAATTATGAGGATCCGGAAGCTCTACTGAAGTCGGTGCAAGTGTCTTGAGCCACTGACGATCCTGGCCGACAGCACTTGGACTAACCCCTTGCATAGTCTTGTGTACTGCTTAAATGTGTCGGATGCCCAGCGTCCGTATAATTGAATGGTGAGTTTGTCAACTCCGGCCCGGTACATGTGAGTTGCGCCGCCTGCACTGAGCGAGTGAGGACTAAATATCATCGGATTGTTGCCCAGCCTTGTTGCTGCTTGTCTGATAGCCCTTGATATTGCTGATGAAGATACGCACTGTGGAAATCCGTTTCCGTTGATAAACACCGCGGCTGGGATTTTCGGTGAAAGACTGCGTCTCGCCCTGAGGATGCAGAGTGCGCCAAATACTGGGCATAAAGAGCGATGACCCGAGCGGTTCAGCATTCGGGGTGTCGGCACGCCGCGCTGGTTAGTCTTGGAGCCTCGAAGGCGAATGTGCACTGTTGAAGCCTCGTGTGCTCGCGTGGTGGCGACACCTTGATGATTCAGCAC